TGCAACTCGCTCAGGATGAGCAATAACTGAGAGAGATGATTTTCATTCTTTTGACATGAAATCAGATTTGCAAAGGTTTCATATCAAAATCATCTGCATGTACTAACATTTATTACGCAAGTAAATACCATCTCTTGAATTCCACCAAATATTGCAAGACCCATCACTGAATATAATTCAATGATCCAGTGATACCTTGGCCCTTTGGTCTTAAAGCACTATGTCATATCGGCTTGGCGGAGCCCCGGATTTGTGGATGCCTGGTTGTGCCTTTGATACAGGTTGGTGTCCTTGGCCCAAAATTTTGCGAGGACACTGAATGTTGATCCAGGTAGATTTCAGTGACCCTTTCCTCACTCAGGATCAATTAGCTATTGAGTTGGTGATCTGATGATTTGGCAATACCTTGCTATAGTTCCTTATCGTAAATTCTGTCTGCAGCTCTCATAAACAAATGCCCATGATAAACAAGGGCACCTGTGATGTAATTTGTTATGATGAAGGTGCAATTTTGACTGAAGTGCCCCCTTTTAAGCCAGCAATCATCACAACATATCAAAGCTCTGGACCAGCTACTAATTTAATCTGATAAGACCTATTTCATTGATGCGTGGCACCATCACACATCCCATGTAAAAAATGTATAATGTACGGAAGTGCTAGGTCTCTTACCTCTGAAAAGTTTTCTCTGAAGTTACTTAATCCCGACCCCTTCTCTAATGTTTTCCGACAACCAGCATATCCGTTCCCACTGATAAAAAAAAGCTAGGGAAAGGGCCAACAACTGTAGGTGTCTTCCAGACTCGAGGGTGAGTTGGCTGCACTTGTAGTCTATTTCTACTTTTCAACAGCCACAGCACATGAACTTGAACTGCGTAGCGCCACCAATTCCTCTCTTGCTGTATGCTGTTAAGACAAGCTTTCCTACATAAAAAGTTTGTAAGGGTACAAAAAAGTGAAAGAAGGTATAACTTCGTGAAATACAGTGAGATCCCGTTAATGTGACCACTGTTGGGCCACAAAACTGTGGTCATAACGTGGTCATATTAACAGGATCTTCAAATTAATAAAATGACCAGTGTTTTTTACATTTGGGTCAAAAGATTGTGGCTGTGATGAAGAGGTGGTCGTATAAACAGGGAAGTCATAAGGCGGGTTCCACTGTCCAGTGCAACACCATTAATGAGACCACTGTTGGGCTAGCCTGCGAGGAAGCTCTCCATTTCGGGGATATAGTGAAAAGTGGACAGATGAGAGGCATGCAAGAGGAGATGCGAAAGCGGGGGAGAGAAAGGAGAGCTTGGTTGCTAGTGAGTATTTAAAAGTAAAGGTGGGACCTTTGTGGCGCTGTGGCGTTTCGCAATTTTGACAGTGGCGTTTGCACGACGTCTAATCTTTTCACTGTTGACGGATAGTTCAAGTCTGTCGGCTCCCAACAGAATTTATTTATTTGTTCAATCGCTTTCACAACAGCTTTCCACTGCATCAGAGCAATGTTGTTTACCACTGAATTGAACTTGAACATACCCGCTCAAATAAGAACTCAATACTTTGATTCTCGTTTCATTTACATTTGACAAGTTGTCTACATTCAGAAGATTTAAAGGAGAACTGAAGTAAAAAATAACCATTTTTTAAATTTATGCTTAAGACCCCAACATTAATGTTTGACGTCTTTTTTGTGCTGTTTTGCCTTTTTTCCTACTCGAAAAAATTGTTTTGCTCGCTGTTATGGGCCTTTAGCATTGCGAATCAGAATTGGCCCGTCAGCGGTTGTTTTCGAAGCATGTGACGTCAACTATGGGGAAGAAAGGCGATGCTCCACAAAAAGCCTACTAAAGGTCTTTTAAGCTGAAGAACTTAAGCTCGATGTCCAGGTGTCTTCAAGGGAAAATTGTACCGAAAATGCCATGGATAACATATTCTCTCGGGATAAAAGTGTGAATGACGCAACGTTGGCGCGACACTGTAAACAAGAACCGCGGAGGTAACTTAGGTTTACTGTACATCTGTTTGGAAGACATACTTGTAGCAGAAATATTAACAAAGTAACAAATATGAAATTTGTACATCAAGGATTTTAATTAGTTGCAACAACTTGTAAGCGTCAATTTGTTTTGTAATTAAACAGTCTCTTCTTCTCTGATTTTGATCAATTAAAGTGTTCCCTTCATTACAGGCTGTACAGCTTACAAACTTACCCGCTGCTTGTTTATTATTTGTAGACGCACCGGCAGGAGTTGCGATAATTTAACGTTTTAATGAGGTTATTTAGTATGAAACTGGATCGTTTGGACTACGGTGTTCTGTGTTATTCTCGATCTTTTTAGCTGTATTTCTCATTGGAATTGTTTAATCATTTTCTAAATCTGGGGTGGTAATAGAGGCTAATTCCTTCTATTGCAGTTCATTAGCTCTGTGTCATCCTCTCACCCTGCCCTACCTGTTGCTGTTGGAGAACCTAGTACTTCAAGTGCATGTGACCAAACAGCCAGCCCCAGTGAACAAGTTCTTGAAGAACCTGAGAATGTGAAGATCGCATCGCTTCCTACTAGCTCACCTATAGAGACACATGATTTTGGATGTCAAGTTAACACTCGGGGAGAGTCTTATGCTGAAATCAGTAGGGATCCAAACACCTGACTTCTTTAGTCTTTGTGACCAGTACAGTCAGACCGAACCAGGTCTTTTTGATAGGGAAGCCTGGTTCTTTAACGCTGAAGAAGAACCAGGCAGTGAAAATGAGTGTATTGAAAATGCATCCCCTCCCAAAGACTTATCTTATATCCCCTCTAAAAGTGATGAAAGTGTTGATGATGATGGGAAACAAGGTTCAATAGCAGTACCATCAAAGTTGAAACCTCAAACTCCCCAAAATGACACCAAATTCCTAGTATTTATGGAACAATTGGATGATCTTTTGCATCGATGTCCTACATGTGGGGCAGTAGTAAGCAAAAAAAGAAACGTCCACTCGGGAAGTCAACTATGTGTTACCCTAGCTAAAATGTAAAAGTGGGCACATATAAAATTTGGAAGAGTCAACCCATGCTCAAAGGGATGGCTGCTGGAAACTTGTTACTGGCTTCAGCAATTTTACTAAAGGAGCAACATACACAAAAATAGCATCTCTATCTGAAATTTTTAACTGGCAAATTTTTAGTGAAAAGACATTTTACAACATTCAAAACATGTACTTATTTCCTGTGATTAATGAGGCTTGGGAGCGGAACAAAATTCTGTTTTCAGTGAGCTTGAAATTGAAGACCTGTGGCTGTCTGGAGATGGTCGATGCGACAGTCCCGGACACAGTGCTAAGTATGGGACATACACCATGATTGATCAACTAAGTGACTTTCAAATTGTTCAGGTTAGTGAGGTGACCAGCAGCAACGCAATGGAAAGGGAGGGGTTCAAAAGGTGCATGGAGAATATTCATGACAGAGGAGCCAACATAAAAGTAGTCGCTACAGATCGCCATGTCAGTATACGGTCTGACATGAAAAAGAATTTTCCGCATTTGCAACACCAGTTCGATGTTTGGCATGTGGCAAAAAGTATCTCCAAAAAACTCACAGAAAAGGCAAGAGGAGGCGTCGCTGGTTGCACTCAATATTGAGAAAAAATTTCAAGCCAACCACTGGACACCGAGTATGTAGCTTGCATTTCAAAGGAGGAAAAAAACTTACATGAACAATGTTCCTGTTATTTTTCCTTTGGCAAAATCTCATCCCAGGCGGTCACCCGTACCAAGGAGAAAACTAATTGTTAACAAATCTTCGACATCCAACTAAGAGATGCAGCCTTCACCTAGTTTACCAGCTTCAACCACTACATCAAAGGCTGATGAGTCCGAGCGTGATCGTCAAGAGATTGGACGATTGAGAGAAGAACTGGGAAGGGTTTTACATTTAAAATGATCGTTGGAACGGGATCTGTCTATCCTTAAATTTGGTTTAAAGTGTTTTAAAGAATCAGACAAGGATATGATCTACACTGGCCTGACCTTTGGTCAGTTTGTGGCTTTACTCAATTCCTAAATGCCTATGGTATTTGTGATCATTTAAATTACTGGGGCTCTGATTATGCTAAGGTACAATTACCTGATATAGAAAAGAAGGGACAAAAGCGCTTCTTAGAGCCTGATGACGAGCGTTTTCTGACATTGTGAAGATTGAGGGTTAATATGCCAGAGAAAGTACTGGCTGATAACTATAATATTAGTGTATCGGAGGTCTCAAGGATTTTTGCTACCTGGCTCGACTTACTTTTTTCAAGGTTAATTCAACTTCCTGTTTGGGCTACGAGAAGAGCAGTTGAAGAAACAAAGCCTGAAGTTTTTCGGCAGAAATACCCACTCACAAGGGTCGTCCTTGACTGTACCGAATTATTCATTGAAAAGCCCTCATGTTTCCGTGCACAATCTGAAACTTACTCTTCATATAAGTCCCACAATACAGCCAAGGGTCTTGTTGCAATAGCACCTAATGCTGCTTTAACCTTTGTGTCAGATTTGTATGGAGGTCATTGTAGTGATAAAGTTATTGTTGAGCATTGTGGCATTCTACAGCGTCTTGAAGAGGGTGATGTATTAATGGCAGATCGTGGTTTTGAAATCCAAGACCTATTAGCCTCGAAGAAAGTTTACCTTAATATTCCACCCTTCATGAGAAGTAAAGACCAGCTAAATCCTGATGAGGAAGATGAAACCAGGGAGATTGCATCAGTTCGCATACACGTGGAACGGGCTATTAAAAGAGTGAAAAACTTTAACATTCTTAAACAGATAATACCAAATTCTATGGCTGAAGATGTTGACAAAATTTGGAAAGTTTGCTGTTTACTGGCTAATTTCAAGGGGCCACTGGTAGTATGGTCAAGGCCCCTTGAAATTAGGCAGTACAGGGTGTCCCAAAAGTTCGTTCCTCTGATCTCATGCACTATAACTTTTGATCATATGTTTATTTTTAAATGAAATATCTAGAAGCTGTTTATTTCTCTATCAGGTTCATGTACTCAGAATTTCAGTAACTAGCATGCCCTTTTTTGTTTATTTATCACATTCGGTAGCGGTTTTGGCATGGAGTGGGATACAGCTTGTAGACCCACAGATGATCTATTCTGAGCTTTTTTATCACCTGGTGCGCAGGAGCCAGTTCAACCTCCAAACAATATTTGTTTAGTTTAGGCAGCTGAAAAAAAATATATATCTTGGGTATTCATCCAAAAGAAGATAACCATCCCCGGTCCCCTTCCACAGCAAGACATTTTTACTTCTCTTCAAATTTGAGACGAGCTGAGCGTTACTTGGCAGACTAAGCAGAGGTTTTTTTGGCCATCTCAGTGGCCTTTAATTTGAAGCATTCGCTTTTCATGAACCTGTTCTGGAATTAGCTTTGCTAACTATGTGAGAACTTCCTCGTCGAGTCTTCTATTTTATATCTACCCTTCTTTAAAAATATTTTAGCTGCTTTATTCAGGACTTTTAGTATTCCCCTTCGTTTCTTGCCTTCAAAACTTTCATTTCTCTATGATCATTTTACCACCCAACATTTTCATTTTTCCAGTTTTTTAGCAGTTATTACAGCAGATAAGCTAGTAAATCGAAGTAAACATGCTTATGTTCTCACGTAGCTGAACTTTTTTTCGTTAAGGGGGTTTATTTTTCGTGATATTCACAAAATACTAGGAAGGAGTTCGAGCAATTCGGGATATAAAATACAAAAAGTATGTGGCTGGAAAATATACTTGCGCACGCAAGTACACAAATCAGATATACGAGTCAAAAGATGGCACAATAAGTATGAAAATAGTGAATTAGATTGAAAGACAACTTTTGCTTGAATGATTTGCTTACCAAGTCTAATCGTACTGAAATACAGACTTATAAAGTAGAGGAACGAACTTTTGGGACACCCTGTAAACAGCAAACTTTCCAAATTTTGTCAACATCTTCATCTTTTTAAAATAACTTCCTGATTTGTAAGAAGTACAAGGTACATAATATTGGTGTACAGGATTTATCCCCCAAAAAAGTGTTTGATAAAGTAAACATGTTGTGCGAAAAAGGGAAATAAGCACCAAAGAGAAAAGATTTTGACATTTCTTTAAAAACGTCGCATTGGTAGCATAGGAAATGCATGAAAAACAGTGTGGAGAATATGCATACAGATGCCAGGGTATAAAGGTTTAATTGAGGAAATATGGTATTTGTAATTTGACAGTAGTAGTAGAGGACATATTGAAACTTAATGCAAATGTATATCTTCCAGATAAATAATTTTCATGCAACAGGTGAAGGTACTTAGAATATTACAGGTTTGTCAGAAGTGGCCAGTTGCCATCAAAACCATCACCTACTTAACTATAGAGGCTGGTTATTCTGCTCGGTAGTTGTTCACAAGATGTGATGAACTGTTAAAAATTGCCACTTTTAAAAAATCACCTGTCAACTCACAACATTCTGGTAACGCTAAATGGGCGAATAAACGTAATATCAAGTTAACAAACCGATGGCTTATCTCAGTGATTACATAAATATCTGCAGTCATTGAACTTAATCAACTCTTTGCATAGTTCTTAAACCTATAGACATTATTTCCTGGGTGATTATTTTCAGTCATTTATAGGAAAAGATCTTTGGGTACATAGGGATTACTCTCTTCATGCGCCCAGTTAGTAGCTCAGGAACCATAGCATTGAGATAAAAGTCAAGAAGCTTTCTCCTGAGTGCTTCCCAGAATGTAGGATCAAAGAAAATTCTGTCAATGTGTATATCCTCACGATTCATGAAATAAGTGCAATTAACAAAATCACGCCATGGCTTTCTAGTTATTGCCATACCCCGCTGAACTTGTTTATAGTATAAATGTTTTTGTTTGAGCCTGAGTCCTGATTCTGTAATCTCCAAGAAGAAATTCTTGGTGTGTTTTGCAAGAACTTCATGTAATAAAGTTTGCTTTGTACCCACTTGTTCCTTTAACTTTGATGGGAATAACTTGTTTTTTTGCCTCAAGGCTTCCAGTTGGATGATATTTATTTGTTGAATCACTGACTTCACCATCAACACTTAAAGCCAGCACAGGATTATCCTTATCAATAACAAGGCCTTTATCTTTATCTTTTTGACCTTTGTTTTTTTGATGTTGAAAGTATTTACCTATGATGACTGGTTCCATTTCCAACCCCACTTGACACTGATATGGTATATTTGGCCTGNGCCAGTTGCCATCAAAACCATCACCTACTTAACTATAGAGGCTGGTTATTCTGCTCGGTAGTTGTTCACAAGATGTGATGAACTGTTAAAAATTGCCACTTTTAAAAAATCACCTGTCAACTCACAACATTCTGGTAACGCTAAATGGGCGAATAAACGTAATATCAAGTTAACAAACCGATGTCTTATCTCAGTGATTACATAAATATCTGCAGTCATTGAACTTAATCAACTCTTTGCATAGTTCTTAAACCTATAGACATTATTTCCTGGGTGATTATTTTCAGTCATTTATAGGAAAAGATCTTTGGGTACATAGGGATTACTCTCTTCATGCGCCCAGTTAGTAGCTCAGGAACCATAGCATTGAGATAAAAGTCAAGAAGCTTTCTCCTGAGTGCTTCCCAGAATGTAGGATCAAAGAAAATTCTGTCAATGTGTATATCCTCACGATTCATGAAATAAGTGCAATTAACAAAATCACGCCATGGCTTTCTAGTTATTGCCATACCCCGCTGAACTTGTTTATAGTATAAATGTTTTTGTTTGAGCCTGAGTCCTGATTCTGTAATCTCCAAGAAGAAATTCTTGGTGTGTTTTGCAAGAACTTCATGTAATAAAGTTTGCTTTGTACCCACTTGTTCCTTTAACTTTGATGGGAATAACTTGTTTTTTTGCCTCAAGGCTTCCAGTTGGATGATATTTATTTGTTGAATCACTGACTTCACCATCAACACTTAAAGCCAGCACAGGATTATCCTTATCAATAACAAGGCCTTTATCTTTATCTTTTTGACCTTTGTTTTTTTGATGTTGAAAGTATTTACCTATGATGACTGGTTCCATTTCCAACCCCACTTGACACTGATATGGTATATTTGGCCTGCCGTTGTACTGAAACTCATCCCTCACAAGCCTATCAGGGGGTGTAGTTACTCTTCTGTTTCTGATTTCACCAAATTTCGATGCAGTTAGTCTTCCACATCTGTATTGAAACCAATCTGAGTTGCTAGATTGCCCTCTTGTTTTTTCCTCAACAGTGTTGATACCATCTTCAGTTATTTTGATGGTTTTCATGTACTCTTTACAAAGTGCTATAAAGTTCTCATCAGTTAAATCCAAGTCATCTGGGTAGCACTGTGTGGGATCGGGTATGGTAAAGTTACTATTGCTTTGAAAATCAGGATCATCATTTAAAGTTTCCTCAGAAATCATAGCTTCATCAGTTTCAGTTTCTACAATCATGCTAGTTTCAGTCTGTTGTTCAGGTAAGTTAGAAATTGCTACAGAATGGGAAATGATTAATTCTGGTAAAACGTTGATGTCTAATGGCTCACACTGATTTTCACCAAAACAATGTACTGGAGCTTTCTTGAAAAGATGATCTAATTCACATTTAGAAGCTTCTATCCCTGTCTGAGTTTCATTTCTTTTATGTTTACCAGGTAAATAATCATGATCAACAAGAACAGTGTGTTTAGCTAACTTATCTTCTATTGTTTTCACAGTTACAGGCTGCCAATCATTGCCTTGTAACACATTAAGAATTACTGCATTTGACTCCTTGATCTGTTTTCTTGTAACCTGTAGAGCAAAGGAGGGACATGATGAATATGCCTCTTTCTCGTTTTTCCTTTCAGTCCTTTTTTCAGTCTTCTTTCTTTTGTCAGCATCATAATCATGCTTTATCATCAGTATATCTTTGAAAAGAACTGGAACGTTTGAGGTTCGTTGGGTTGGTTTATGCCATTGCTGAGGCCTTTCTGTGCAAGAAGTGTTTGGAGGAATCTGCCCAAGGCCACTTTCAGAGAAGTCAAGTATGTAGTCAAAATTAAATGTACCCTGAGTTTCAATAAGCTTGATAAATAAAACTATTTTATACTTACATCTTAGCCCACTTAACAAGTAATTAAACGTAAAATCGCGCATATAAGAACCTATACTGATTTAAGAACCCACAGGCTGAAATTTGGCATTTAAATACCCAATTATAAGAAGCTCTTCAGCCTGGCAAAGAAAAAAGTTCCTTACACAAAAAAATCACTCCAATTTCGATGGTAAAATTCTCGATTTGAATTGTCTGACAAACGTTTGCCAAAAAGTTATTGTGTATATGTTTTCTTTGATTTATTTATTATTTGGTTGAATTTTCACCAGAAGTATGTTTCCCATAGAGTTACTGTGCAATATAGACGATTCAAATTCTTATATCTTATTTCAATAAATATGGAAATGTATGGATGATCTTCTTGGACCATGATTATTTGCACATATGTATTTGAAGTACAATATTTCAGCCAGAGGTTACACTATGACAACCTCCGAAAAATAAAAAACTTTTAAGAACCTAATAACTATGAATTGTGAAAAACTACCCTAAAATATAACAACCTGTTCAGCCCGACCTCGAAAATTCTAGGTTCTTATATGTGAGTTTTTACTTTGTTTGTTTATTAGACAGACACCATGAAGCAGATGTCAAACATTATAAATTTGACAGCATATGAACATCACCCACAAACAAACATAAATATTAATTTAAATTCAAATTAATATGAACGAAATACAAAGTTTCCTTTAGGTGAAATACATGCTGGCCGATTGCCAAGTAAAAAAAAGTACACAAAAGTGAACAAGTAAACAAACCAACAAATTTGGTAAAAAGGAGTACACTGTATTTATGTTGTGGAATATGCAGAAACAAAGTTAAATTCAATAAACATACCTAACCTAAATCATAGGGGAAAACTTGATGCATTGCTTGGCAAGTTTTACTTTGGAAAAACTTCACAAACAATTTAATTTTCCTTAAAGGAATCAAATTAGTCAAAACTATGGCGTCTCCTCTTTGGCCTGGATGACTCTTTGGTTCAGACAATGGACTACTCCACAAACCGCAAGTAAAGCAAGAGGGTGAAAGTGATGGAGGCCATCCCTTGATATCCATGGAATGTGCCTGGCCAATGACAGCACTGGGTATTTGTAGGGGCAGGGATCTCTTCATGTTCAGTTGAACAGTTGGTAAACGGCTGACAGTATCCAAAGAATTATCAGTGCTATTTGTACTGATTGTTCCTGATTCTGTTGACGATGACGTGGATTCCATCGATCCAGAAGCAGATGCTGATTCTAATGCTGATGGAGTGGATTCCATTGATCCAGAAGCAGATGCTGATTCTGTTGATGATGACATGGATTCCATCGATGCAGAAGCAGATGCTGATTCTGTTGCTGATGACGTGGATTCCATCGATCTAGAAGCAGATGCTGCAATAGATGTATTCTTCTCAAAAGTCTCATTAGTTACGATCCCAAGGCTAATTAATACATGATAATACGTGTATGTGATATATTTTTTGCTTTGTTTTGTTTTGCCTTTGCAACAAATGTTTTGCAGTCCTTAGAACAACATCTGAGGGCATCTTCCTGCACCTTCACATGGCAATACCCGGTAGGATTATTTGATGAGACATGTCCAAAGACACAGAACATTAAAGGAGAAACTTTCACAGGTAATGGTAGATTTCCTGATAACTCCTTGAGTCTCAACAAATCACTCCTCATTGTGTCACCACACTGGTATCCCTGCAAGTCAGGAAAATCAAAGTACTGTTTTTCTGGTTGAACAGCAGATTCAATGGTCTTCACATGCTCACATGTGAATAGAGATGAAGAACTGCTGTTTACCATCACCGCACGGGCTTGTTTGCACAGGTGGTGTAAGCAAATAGTGCTTGGAGAATCATATCTACAGTCCTTGATGACGAGACATCTGTCATCATGGTTTGTGGTCTTGCACGAGTAGAATTTCCATGGACCAACAGTCACTGAAGTGCACAATGGTATGTCCATTTTGGGTTTCTTGGGATTTTTGGGAATATAAGTGCCTCCCAAATAGAATCCAGAATTGGTACACTTAGGCTCTTTATACCGATTGGCATCTCCGAAAAGACAGTTTGGACATTTGCCCTTGCCTCGCTCACAAGAATCCTATAAAGTGAAAGATAAATATTGTATTATAAATAACATGGCTATCTAAATAAGGGGTCCAAATAATATTAAGACTATCACATTAACACTGAGACTTTGGCTGGGGCTCCAAGCAGATAAAAATAAATAACTGTAAGCTGAGAAAGAAAAAAAAAGGCTCAAGTTAAAAACTATTCCCCTTATTGCACTTGCCACACAGGTTATATTCAACCCTAAACAACCAGTTACATCAGTGTTCTTTGAAACTAAGCTTATATTCAAACGAGCATGATTCAGTTAAGAAATTCAGAGAAATGATTGTACGTTGTTAGAGATAATTTAACAATCATTTGGATGTTTGCAAAAATTTCCCCCCAAAACTTAATTACACTAAACACAAAGCAAAAAGCAAACTGAATAAAAACTGGGCGGAGAAGGCAGGAGTAGCAAGGAATTAGAAGAAAGAGACAAACGTAACAGCTGGGAGGAGAAAATGGGCAAACTTCTATTAAACAAGAATGCTAAAATTTACAGCTACACACATGTATCCCCAGACTGGGAGGTCAGTTGACCATGATCAATGACGTCAAGCTTTCATGAAGGCTGTGACTTTCAATGGAAACTAGCAAAGTTTAAAAGGTAATTTTGCCACTCCCTTGCGAAAAATTAACAACTTTGATAAGATAAGAGACTGATGCTGCCCAACCTTCTCCTGGGCTATGCTTGTTATGGTATGGCTGTGTCAGTCCAAGCATTTTTAACTAATGCAACAAATTTAAACAAAATACAAATGCAGACCCGTGTTTGTCCAAAAATGTATGATTTGTAGTCAATTACATGAATCTTTGTCATCAATGATGAACTCATTTTGATCAGTATCTGAAAGTTTTTAAAATATGTCGGTTCATTTATGGCTTTTTTTGGTTTCTGTATAGAGGTGAGATCCGATGCATGACTCATTTCAAATATTTGCTCAGTTAAAACTTGAAATTTTGTGCGTATAAAGCTTACCATCTACAATCCTGGACAAAACTACTTGAGAAGGTTTTCCCCATCATGTCCACTTTCCTACGCAACAAAACTATTTCCAAAACGACGCCTTTGCGGAAAGAAAAGCCCTTCCCCCAATTCAATGTTGCTTCCCACAAACGCCCAGGGATCAGGCTTTCTTTTGAATACACAACAACATTGCTTTCAGGGGAAGGGGGAGAGGGACGAACCGGTACAGCTACGATGTTTGAAAAAATGCTGTCCAAGTATACAATTTTCTCAACACTTTTTTTCGGAAAAATGGTCGGCGATGTTTGAGGGAAGAATTGATGGTGGCTTTAGCGGTCAAGAAGTACTTTTGGTGACAAATTTCCTCAGAAGGAAAATGAAACAAATTTTCAGCGACAACAGACCATGGTCACACGCCACAGTCACACCATCGCCGAACATGGTTGGCAGTCAAAAACCATGATACCATGGTCAAACTGTTGGCGGGGTAATAGAGAGGGAGGGTTTAATAGATCTAGAGGATTTACGATGTTGGAAGAAATGGAGGGTCACTGTAGGCATTCAGGACCAGGAATCAGTTTAATGACCCTTTTACACAAGAGGTACATTAACTTGAATTTTGTAAAATTACTCTACTTAGCTATAACCTCTGACAGTATGATCAGGAAAAGATATTTAAACTATCTAGATAAATAAATAACAGACTGCAAATTTATATAAGGATTTCTCTTTTTTAGGCATTGTATAAAAACCTACCTATCTTTTTGTTGTTCTCCTTTTTCCCTTTTTGTTGGAGTACTTTCCAAGGAGGAACTACTTAAAATTTGAACTACCTCCTCAACATCCTGTTGTCAGAGAGAAATACTTCAATTCAAGGTACTGAAGTAAAACCACGTACAACAATGTAATAACTTTTAATGAGTGATGTACATTTACATCCTACCTGTACATCATCATGCCACCTGACTTCAGGTAAATCAGAATCAGAATCTGAGCTATGAAAGAGCAAAAAAAAAAGTCTCATTGTAACAAACATACCTGAATGCCATTGTTTAAAAACGTGAAAAGTTTGCCACTGACATAAGAGAGACAAAATTGGCTTTGAAGTGTCGCAAGGATTTGAAGGTTTCTTAACTTTTGCAGATTCGTCAGAAAATAACAATAAAATAATCCAGCTTTGTTCGGAGGAAAGTGTAATACTGGCAGTATTAAACTACAGTAGCTATAGAGTTAAAGTTATCGAATTGGTGATCTTTAGATTTAATAGATAAAATACTCCCAGGCAATTAGCAAAGAAGGAGAAAAATACTGGAAATAAGTCGGAATAAAACATCATCCCTACATTTAGTTTCAAAAAGTACGACACATTTTCAGCATTTTCATATCTACATTTTTGCACCTAACAACAATGAAAGACTGATCACGCGGTTATTAATTGTACTGCTATGCTGTTATGATTATTTGAGTTATAACCCATTTTGTGCATAGATCGACTTACAACAAACGTGTAAACATTTCTGCATTCGGTTTAATACGGCATAGGCTACAAAAACAACAGATCAGGAGGAACTGAAATCACAAAGATCCTAATCTTGTTGAGGAAATGTATACAACTTCTCCTCTGATTTGTTGATGTTCAAGTATGTTCAGTTTACTATGGTGTAAAATATTACTGCTTTACAATGAATACTCACCTTTCAGAAGATCTAACTTCTATCACACCTGAAATATAAGTTATAGAACTATTAGTACTCCGAGTTTTTTGGTCAAAATTGGCACTTGTTTAGGATTAAATTCACTTGTGTTGACCGTAAAGACCCACCAGCCATGTTTTCGCCTCTTTGCACGTGGTGTGTTCCTTTCTGTTATTTCCAGTGCCTCTCTGCCATTTTTCTGCCGTCATCCCGCCATTTTGAATTTTTGTGGAGGTTACCGCTGACAACTCGTTCCCAGACTTCCGTTACCCGCTCCCCGCTCCCCGTTCCCCGACGTTTTAGTAACATCCGGCATCGGTTCGCATTGCAAGCATTACCTTCAGGATTAAAAGCCATCATGTATATGAACACAAGTACAAAGTTAGAGAGGAGTTCTCATGCTTTTTGGAGCCCGGTAACCCCAATAGTCCTAGTGACAATAGGGACTTTAAGATTGTGAACTACGGTTGGCTGCGACGGTTGGGAATGTGTCACGCAACAAAAAATATCAGTGAGATTTCACCGTCGTGCGTCTGAGACGGTCTTTTTTCCCGCGATTTCTCGTTGTGTTGAAGACGTTAAGAATCATTCTCATTGAAATTTCATCTTCCGCTGTTTACTAAAGCCAATTTGCAGGCTGTTTTATTCACATTTGGTTAGCCATAGATTTTCTTGCTGTTGGACTTTTAGTTCGTTCAGATGAATTGTTTTTTTTGTGTGGAAAAAAAAAAAACATTCCAGAACAGTGGTGTAGTGCCGTGTCTTGAAAGTTCTGACTGCATGGTTTCCTTTCAGCTGGTTGATTCGTTGTTTTCGCTTTATACAGCCAATTTGCACGCAGTTTTATTCGCATGTAGTAAATGATAAATTTTCCTACTGTTGGGACTAATTTCGTTTAAATGAATTTCTTTTTTTAATGTGAAAAAATCATTCTGGTACAGTGTTTTGAAAGTTATGTTTGCTTTTCTTTCAGCTTGTTGATCCTTTCATAAATGGCAGCAAACTTTAGTGACAGGTAAGCTTCATTACTTACTACTTATTTGATGCATATCATTTTAAGATTTAACAGATAACCGAATTACGATTTGCCTTATGATCATATTAAAAGAATAGCTTAGT